GGGGAGGGGAGGGGAGGGCAGGGCGGCGGCGGAGGCGCCGGGTGGGGGCGGGGGCCGCCGGGAGGGGGCGAGAGCCGTTCCCAGGCCCCGCCACTGGCCCGGGGGCGGGCGGGTCCGAGGCGCGCGGCCCCGCGCGGTGCCGCCCTCCCCTCCACCGGCCCGAGCCGAGGCGCAAGGGAGGCAACGGGGTGTGTCACCGTTCAGGCGACCCTCCACTCTCACGTCGTAAATCCGCAAAGCCGGGACTTTTATGGGGCGGGAGGAGGGCACTGGAGCGATGCCACTTCGGGAGGGGGGGGGGGGCCGGGGCGCGCCGGGGTTTCTGCCCAAATTTGTGCGAAATGTAAGACAAGGCGCAGTTTAAGCCGCCTCTCGTCCTCTGCGGGCCGGAAGGTCGCGGTGAGGGTCGGGCAGCCGAGGGGGGCTCCCGGCTAGCTGCCCCGCAGAGTTCGCGGAGACCGTGGGGCAGGCGCCCGGCCGCACCCCGCTTGTCCTGAAGACCAAGGTGGGATCCGGTCCCACCGCTATTAGAAACGCGCCTCCTTCAGCCTCGCGGAGGACACACTTGAGTGGCAAGTGTGAGTGGCAAGGAGCCCGTCCCACAGCCGAGGGACCAGGCCCCGGGGCGGGGGCGGGGTGGGGGGAGCTGGTGCACCCAGCTTGTTTTTGGAAGACGCCTTGACAGCGTCGGAGTCAACTTTGAATGAGTAAGCCGAGTTGTTTCTCCAATGGCATCTTCCTCTGGAAGCCTTGAGAACATTTTCGTGCCTTCTGTCCTCCTCCACCCCCCTTGGTCAGGACAAAGCCAGCTTCCTTCCGAGCTCCCCCTCCCCACACCCTGCCCGGAGCCTCCAAGGGGGTGGGGGGAGAGGTTGTAATTAACCAACCGACTTTGACCCTTGATCTGCAGGCTCCCTGGCACCGCCCCAGGCCTTATAGGAAAGTGGTGAAATGAGGGCGGTGAGGGGCCCTGGAAGGGCTCTTTCTTGCCTCAGTTTCTCTCCTGAAGAAATTGGTGGAGACAGTGGGTGTAGTGATGAGATTTCTGTGGCCTGATCTGCCAGGATCCAATGGCCTGTGGCGCTGGGGACGTTTCCCAGCTTAACCTTATCTTAAAGCTGCTTCTACGGCCTCCTTAAAACAAGGGGAAACTGAGACAAAAGGCAAGTGAGCCGCCGGCTCACCTGAGGTGGATTAGGGTGTGGGCCCCGGATGCTGTTTATAGCTTCCTGCCTGCCCAAGTTCCCTGGCGGGGTGGCTGTTCCACCCCCGACGGGCCGGGAGAGGATCGGAGCCCCCTTCTTCGCTCCTGCCTCCTCCCTCACCTGTGTTTGCATTGCTGCTTAGCTGCTCCTTCGGATCTGATAAACTGAACTTGGACTGTGTGAAAGGTGAGCTGAGCCTTGCAGGAGACTCGGTGTGCTGTTATTTTTAGTTTTATTTCACATCCCAATCAGTAACAGATCATGTGTTGACTTTTACAGAGGACAAAGAAATTCCGTTCGTTCAAATCATTGACTTCCTTGCATCCTGGTGATTTTCCCCACCTTTCCCCACCACGGTCCTGGTGGCCATAGTGGGAGTGGTGGGGGAGGCTTCTCCCCAGGGGCTGTCCCAGCGGGTGATGAGGAAGGCTTCTGGGTGGTCTGTGCCCCCCCCCCCCCCCCCCCCGGGGGGGGGGCGGGGGGGGGGGGCAGGGGGGGGGTGGGGGGGGGGCCGCGGGGGGGGGGCCCCGCCGGGGGGGGGGGGGGGATTCTGGGGGGTTGTCCCCCCCCCCCCCCACCCGCTGCTGCTGTCCAGGTGAGGGGAGATGTGCAGGCCTCTCACACAGGATGGAGGGGATTGGCCCAGATGTCGGGTAGGGGGTCGAAACCTGGAGGGCACAGGTGACAATCTGCTCTCATTGTCTTGGGGAGGGAGAGTCCTGTGGGGTGAGGCCAAGGCTAGAAGGCAAAGCACTTAATTTAGCCTCTAAAGGCCATGTGGCCCACTGGAGAGTTTTCCCACAGGTTTTGGAAATGAGAAAGGGAATGTTCTCGGGCCACGCTTGGGTGCCTCAGCTGGCTGGAGAGTGGGGAGTGTGTTTTGTGGTGGCCTGTCCCCTGGCTGAGCCATTCCATCACTAGCCGACCATGACCCCAGGAGCCGGCTGGGCACGGTTCCTTCACCCCACCTCACGGACTCAGCACGTCGTGACCAGCTAAGCATTGACCCCATTCCCACTGTGAGAGGCACTGGCGGGGGGGGGGGGGGCCTGAAGCTGGGGAAAAGTGAAATACTTGAGGTCTGACCTTCCTGCCAGGGCCCTCTGAGACCCTTAGAGCATCAGAGAGCGCCTGGAAGGAGGCACTTTTACCGACTGAAGGCCCAAGGCTCCAGTCTGACCAGCACTCCAGCCTCTCTCCCTGAGACACAATTCTAGAAGTTCCCACCCCCAGGGCAGAACTTTTCCCTGGCCTCGCTCTCCTTCCAAAGCTGAGGAAAAAGCCCAGAAGTGGGCACATGGGGCTAAAAGGTCACAGTGGAAGGGAGATTAACAGCTACCAATTTGGGTCCTAGAGCTTGGCCTTGAGCCCTTCACTTCCCCCGCCCCCAGCGTTTCTCCTTTGTAGTGTCAGTATTAATGTGCTGGGACTAACGCTGGTTTCTTGAGGAGAAGCCCAAGCACCTGTACCCAGGGCCCGAATTCCATGTCTTGCACTGAAGGGGATGCTGGGGAAACCCCGTACTCCAAGCCCCTGCTGAGGAACAACGAAGAGCCAGGAAGGTACTTGAGGGTAGAGAGATGAGCCCGGAAACAGCCTAGAAGCTGTAATGAGGTGCTCCCAGATGTGGGTGTCCCAGGGCCTCTTCCAGGCACCCCCTTCTCCGCATTTTGGGGTCTCTCTTGTCTATCTTGCCAGTTCGCCAGCACATGCCTGTCCCAGGGAGCCGCTTTTTGTCCGGCCGCGGTGGACAGGCCTCTCGGTCATCTTTGGGCCCCAGAGTATATGTGTGTGGGTGGGGGGAAATTAGGCCTCCAATGAGGATCATTCTTGTCATTCCTGGGAAGTGCTGGCAGCGAAGGACATGTCTGCCACACTCTCCGGGGAGCGAGGCAGGGAGCATAGAAAGCCAGACACGGATGGAGACAGAAAAGCAACTTGGGCCCGGGCAGTGGCCTAGATGGGGCTCCTGGCTGTCCCATGGGGCGCCGTCTCCCAAAGCTGCCAAACTGCTCTAGGCTGGGGTGACCCGAGGCAGACTCCTGCCAGGCCATTTGTCCCAGAAAGAAAGCAGGTGAGGGCAAGGCCTCCGGGCGCAGGGAGGACTAGAGCGGAGGGTGGCCACTGCCGATGGTTACTTCTGACAAGGGTGGTGTCCCACAGGGGCGCGCGGCCCTGTGGTGGCCAGAAGGGTGGCAAGGACGCGCAGGGAAGCACAGTTCACGGCCGGTCGGGGCCATCCGCCCTGGCGTGAGGGCTCAGGTGCTCCGTGTTAGCGTCGCTGTGGCCACGGCACGACAGGCAGTTGGGTAAGGGGGAAAAGATACTGCCTGAGAGAAAAACTTGGCATCCGCAGTGGGCACAATGGGCTGAGCAACCGGCCCGTTGTGTTTCCAGGGCCGCCCGCCTCTGCCACCCGGCTGGCACTAGCTGCCTTTCGGGCATCGAGAGCTGACCTGCTGGGGCCGGGGGAGATGGGCGCGGGGGACTCCTGCCTTCCCTGATAACACCAACCTGGGCCGTGCTGATACACTGACCCTGCCCGTTCAGAGCTGACTTAACCACACCCCGGGTCAGCACGAGCACCGGCCCCCGTGTGGTCAGAGGCCGGGTCCTCACATCTGCTTTACCTGCTCTCCCTGGGGAGCCGGCACCGGGCCCCGTGCCCGGCCCCGACCTGAGGCCTTGCTGGGTAGGGGTAGGACCTGGCCCTCTGTCCAGTATTTGGCCAGCAGCTCTCAGTCTGAGGGAGGCGGGGCTTGCCGGGGGAAGGAGGAGAAGGGCCTCGGGTGGCAAGCTGCTCCCGGCCCGGCCCTCGGCATCGTCCGGTGGAAGCGAGCTGGGCCAACACGAGGGGAACCCGCGAACCCCTGAAGGAGTAGGGAGAGGGCCAGGCTGGTGCGGCCTCGCCATTCTCCACAGCTGTGGGCGGGCGATGAGTAGCCACCGCCGCCGCCTTGCCGGAAATGTCTAATTAGGGGACAGAGAGCAGCACAAGCAGGGCCCGACCAGTTCTGCTTCCTGTCTCCGGCCACCCAGTGACACCCAGTGACAGGAGCGGCATGCCCTGAGCACGCCCTGTGCGTGCGGCCGCGGCAGGGCCATGCTCCCGGGGGTGGCGGGAAGACAGGTTTGGCGGGGTGGACGGGATGAGGCAAACGTCCCCACCCTGGCAGCCGAGTGGCGGTGCGTCCGGCCTCCCCTGCCCCTGGCTCAGGGTAGAGGCAGCTCCGAGGCCAGACCGGGCAGGCTCGCTCCCTGTCCCCAGTTCCCCAGCGCCGGCATTGCCAGGCTTCTGTGGAACGGAAGAGGCGGGGGCAGGAAGCGGGTGTTCTCCCAAACCGGCCTGGACCCTTGGAACCCTAGCCGTGAACACCTCACCGCCACCCCCTCAGGGGAGCAAGGGAGCCAAAGTGACAACTCACTTTGAGCACGAACAAACTGGTTAGCCCTCACCTGCCGTCACTCCTCCCTCGGCCGCTCCTTGTGCAGGCGGTGTGGCCGGGCTCCAGCTTTCAGGAGCCTCGCTCAGGCTATGCGATACCGAGAGACAGAAGAGGGTAGAGGTTTCTGTTTGTCTCTACCTGGATTGAGAAATGGAAATTGTCGTTCAGCTTTGAGTTCTTGGCCAAGATCTCCGGTGGCTGGTAAACCGGCATCAGAAGGGGAGGGGTAGACACACCCCTGCCTTCCCCCAGCCCCCCTCCTGTGCACACAGACAGCCAGCCAGCGCTGTGGGCAGGCCGGAGGGACCCCGAGAGCTCGGGCCTGATGTCCAGCCTCCCGGCGTCCAGAGAGAGGCGCCACGCCAGCTCAGAGGCCAGGCCAGGGCCAGGCACTGGTGAATCAACTCCCGGAATGAGGTGGCTCATCAAAGTCCCCTGGACAGGCAGACGCCAGTGCCAGCAGAACGGGTTCTGGGCGGCAGGCGGGCACATTCTGCCCTTGTCAGACCTTTGTTGTGTTTTGAGGGGGCGAGAGCCAGGGCCTCTCCCGAAACTTGGGTGCTTTCATATTCACCCTTCCTCCATCAGTACGTTCCTCTGCCTTCCACCTCCAGCCTTGCCTGCGGTGTCCCGGGAGAAGACGGGAGGGCAGTGGCCCTCCTGCCCTGGGACCACCCCTCCCTCCCTGGGTCCTGGTCCTCTCTGTCTCACCAGCTCTGGGGCAGGGGGTGCTGAGGGCCTTGTTCGTGTCTGAGACCTTGACTCAGCCTCCTGAGTCCTTCTCCCTGAAGACCTTCGTCCTTTCCTTCCTTTACCCTTCTTGACCTTTCCTTTTGAAGCTTGGAAAATGTTCCTAGCTTTTGGGCTTTAAGCAGAGCTGACCCTTGAACAACAATGTGGTTTGAACTGCACGGGCCCACCTCTATGTGGATTTTTTTCTGATAAATACAGTACAGTGAATGCATTTTCCCTTTCTTTAAATTTTTTTTTTAAACATTTTTTCATTTTTAAGAGTGAGAGAGACAGAGCATGAATGGGGGAGGGGCAGAGAGAGAGAAGGAGACACAGAGTTCGAAGCAGACTCCAGGCTCCGAGCTGTCAGCACAGCGCACGACGCGGGGCTCGAACTCATGGACCGCGAGATCGTGACCTGAGCTGAAGTCGGACTCAACCGACTGAGCCACCCAGGCGCCCCTGCATTTTCCCTTTCTTACCGTTTTCTTACTAACACTTTTTTCCTCTGGCTTACTTTATTGTTATAATACATGTAACCTACAGAATGTGTGTCAGTCAACTGTATCTCTTATCGCTAAGGATTCCGGGCTATGAGTAGTTAAGTTTTGGGGGAGTCAAAAGTTCTATTCGGACTTTTGACCGTATGGGGGGGGGGGTGACGGTCAGGGCCCCTATCCCCTGCACTGTTAAAGGGTCAACTGTATAATAGTTTAGCCTTTTGGGAGGAAAGATACCGATAAGTGAAAACATGAGTTCGTTTGCCCCAGCTCTGTCGGCTCTGAGACCCGTACCCTGTGTGTCACTGAGGCAGCCGTTCGTCTTCTCTACTCCGCACTGGGGCCAAGCCTCTCTGGCCCCGTTTGGTGTGAGGTGTCTGCCGTGGGGAGCGGCCGCGTCAAAGGACTGCCAGGTATCGGCGCCTCGGAGGGCGGAGGTTGGGAGCCCAGCCCTCGCTGTGCCACGAGCAAGCAAGCGGTCCCTGCTGTAGGGGAGGGTTGCGCAACCGCCGGGCAGGCCGCCCAGGAGACTGTTACACCGCATCCACCTGCTGCTCCCCGACCTCCTCCCTGCCCCACCTCACCTGGCCTGTTTGCCTGCCGAGCTTGGCCAGTGGGAGTGGGGAGCCTAGAACCCTGATGGCTGGCAACAGCGACACCCGCCAGCCTGGAGGACCACTCAACACCCCCACCCCCCCACCCCCACCCCAGGCCAGCAGCCCAAAGAAGCAGCCCAGAGTGGCTCAGGCCACCAGGGACCCTTCAGGGGCAGGGGTGGACCCCTGGGCCCAGGGCCTCCAGTGGTGCCCCTTGTCCACGCAGGAGCGTGGATGAGGCCCGGAATCCAGAGGGACTGGCCCAGGTGGGGCAGGCAGACAACTCTGGAGGGATAATTGGCAGGGCAGGTCGGGTCCTCCCAGTTCCGCTAAGACACAAATTACTCAGCGGGCAGGCCTGTGGGCTGTGGTGCTTGGCCGGCGTCACCTGTAATTACCTTAATGGGGCGGGAGGGAGGTGCAGCATGTATGGGCCGGGGGCAGCCCTGCTCTGCCGTTTGCCTGCAAGGGGCAGCCCGCTGCCAGGCAACCTTCCTGAAATCCCACAGGGTCCTGTTCTCCCCACCAAGCCCCTCACCTGGCATTTCTTCTCTCTGCAGTCAGTCTGGGCTTCTGCCCACCACAGCCCTACCGGGAGCCAGAGCCGTCAGTGGCTGAACCCCCGTCTTGCCCCCTGGTTTTGGACATGAGCCTTCGGGACTCCAGCTATAGTGTGGCCCCTGGGCCCTGCGTGGTAGCCCAGCTGCCCTCTGATGACATGAGTCGTTTGGCAGACCCCCAGAGCAGAGACCACGGCTTCCTGCGCACCAAAATGAAGGTACCGACCCTCACACTGTCTCCAAGGACCAGGAGCGTGTCTATAGTCCTGTGTCCGGCCCACAAGACGTGGCACAAATGAGACCTAGGCAGTAGCTGGCCTTGCATCTGGGTCCAGGGTCCCGTAGAGAAGTGAACCCAGCAAGGCACAGATGGGGACGGAAAAGAAGAGAAGCAGGTGCGATGGGACAGTGTCATACACTGAGAAGGAGCAGCGGGGTGCAAGAGACATCCCACCCTCCGGAGGCCATTCCAGGGGTTGTTTCCTTTTGTTTCTGGCCTCAAGGGGAGCCACCTCTTTACGAGTCCCATGGAGACGTGAGCCCGGCTCAGCGCCTTCTCCTTCCTGGGTTCCCATCCGTGCCGCATCCGGAGTGAGCTCTGGAGTCCACCTGGTGGTTAACTGTCTCTTGAGGCCTGTGCCCGGCGGCCTCCACCTTCCCCGGGTGTGCCACTTCCGGCCCCCTCCGCATGAGGCCCGGGGTCTGGGGCGAGAGCTGGGGAGCCGTGCTCAGCAGCGGGGGCAGTGAGGAGCGTGGGCCCCTGCTTTCGAGGAGCGCGCAGACAGCAGGGCTGTCCCTGGCTAGGCCCGCGTTCCTGAAAGTTCTAGGATCCGGAAGCACCCGCCAGCGGTGATGTAGTGGCAGGGTTCTGGTAGCCCTTTTCTCTGTGCCAAAGGGCCGAAGAAAGCTGGCAGTGCAATGCTGTTCCTTCCTCTCTTCCCTGTGGGGGCCAAGTGTGTGTAACTCGAGGGAGACCAGCCACACGTGTCCTGGGTGCTTGGCCAGAGAGCCGGCGCGGTGCCCCTGAGCCCTCGCGGGCCTCCCTCCCATCCCTTGGATCCTGGTGGGTAGGGAGGCCGTGCAGAGAGAGCAGAGGGCCCAGGATGGCAGATGTGCCGGAGGAGCGAGTCCTGACCCAAAAGGTCTCGACTAGCTAGCAACAGGCGGCATCGCCCCAGTGCCAGAAGCGGTGGAGGAGGAGGTGCGGGGTGACGGGGTGACCCGGTGCCCGGGGAGCTCAGAAGGGGGTGCCGGCAACCGGCCGCCCGCAAAGCACGACCAGCCTCCGGACGGTAACCGAGGTGGAGGGTGGAGACCACGTCTCCCCGTGCTGGCCAAGGTGCTGGACAGGTGCCCGGGGAGCAGAGGGTGGCTGGGGTTTCCTTCCCAATGATCCAGGGCAGCGGGGGGGAGGCTGGGAGGGAAAGATAAAGCAAGACCGGCCCTACATGACAGTTAAGGCACTCACCTCCACACCGGAGATATGAGGTTTTCCGTAATCACAAAAAAAAGAAAAAGGAAAAGGTTTATAAGCAAGAGAGTCGTGAGGAGGCAGAGCGACTCGAGTCATGCTGTGGTGGGCCCGGCTCGGGTCAAAGCCGGGGGCCTCCAGGCTGGGCCGAGGGGGGCTGCCGTAGGGCCCGCGCGGCGGACATCCCCTCGGAGAGTGAGGTCAGAGGGCAGAGGTGAAGAGCCGCAGATCGGAGCTCACCTTTCTACCAGGTGATGGCGAACCAGCTGTTTGTACAGGTGGTCAGTTGCCCGTCCCTCGAGAAGGTAAAGGGGCCGCGCGGCAACCGCGAAAGGGGATTTGGGAACCAGACAGGAGGCCCGACCGTTGACCCAAAGGTGCCCTCCAGCCCCACCACGGCGGGCCTGGGGGCCCAGAGGTGTGGAGCGCGGCTTCCCCCGGGAGGCGGGGGTGGCTTTGTGTCCTCCTGCTGTGTGGACTGCAGCCACGGCTCCTGGTCATCTGTCACCAACACCGTCCTCGCCTGCAGGTGACCCTCGGGGACAGTGCCGGCGGTGACCTCTTCACCTGCCACATCTGCCAGAAAGCCTTCACCTACCAGCGCATGCTGAATCGCCACATGAAGTGTCACAATGACGTCAAGAGGCACCTCTGCACCTACTGTGGGAAGGGCTTCAATGACACATTCGACCTGAAGAGACACGTCCGCACCCACACTGGTAAGAGGAGCCCCTTGGCTGGGAGCGAGCACACCCAGACTCTGCCCGGCCAGGGCCACGCGGGGGACCGTGGCGATGCCCGCTCGCCTCGGCGACGGGGCGGCCTCGGAGGGGCGCCTCGGAGCTCAGGCCCCAGGTCCTCCTCAGCTCATCGGTGAGGCCACTCGGGGAGCCGGAGGCGGACGGGCCTCCTCTGTTCCTCTTCCCCGGTGTCAGGTGGCCCGGCCTTCCTGAGTCAGGGAAGCTGCCGGCGGGCTCCTTGTCGGGACCCTGACACCGGCCCCCCCTTCCCCCCCACCCCGTCCCTGCAGGCGTGAGGCCCTACAAATGCAGCCTGTGCGACAAGGCCTTCACGCAGCGCTGCTCCCTGGAGTCTCATCTCAAGAAGATCCACGGCGTGCAGCAGAAGTACGCGTACAAGGAGCGGCGGGCCAAGCTGTACGTGTGTGAGGAGTGTGGCTGCACGTCCGAGAGCCAGGAGGGCCACGTCCTGCACCTGAAGGAGCACCACCCCGACAGCCCGCTGCTGCGCAAGACCTCCAAGAAGGTGGCCGTGGCCCTGCAGAGCACCGTCACCTCCCTGCTACAGAGCAACCACCACCTGTGAGCGGTGCCGCCCGGCCTGGGCCCCCCTCCCCGCTGCCTGGCCCGGTCCTCCCGCCGCCACCCCTTGCCGGACATGGCGATGGGGACCGCCGGAGCCCCCCAGCACACGTGCTCACTCAGGCGCCACATCGAGTGAGCTCTGCTCGTGGCTGCATCTCTGTCTTCCGGGCAGAGGCCGGGCCGAGCCTGGGCAGCCACGTATGAGTACGGGGCGGCCGTGAGGCCAAGGCTGCCTTCAGGTTGAAGGAGAGCACACCTAGAGACGGGACTTCCCTCCCAGAGGAGGCGCGGAGGATCCCCTTTCTGCCCTCTGGAGGGCAGGGGCGGGGCCCGCTGGGCGAGGACCGCAGAGTAAAGAGCTCCCTGCACACCGAGGCTGTGGGGGAACTGGCAGCTGCCTGGGGGGGGGGGGGGGGGATCTAACGCTCAGGGCCGCGGTGGGGGGCTCTGCCCTCCCCACACGGAGCCGCAAACCCGCGTGTGCACACAGGAGGCCTTTCCACATATCACCTCATTTTTAGGAAATCGACTACAAGGTGCCAAGGAAGTTTTATTTCCTTTTTTTAAAGATGACAAATGTACAGATATTAATATATTTTTGGTGCCGATGGCGGCTGTTTTTAAGAGAGGATGGAGCTGGCTTTTCTCCCTCCCCATGCGGTTCTATTTATCCTGGACATTTCACACCTCCTCTGTGCCTTGGTTCTCCTGAGACGTTTAACCTGAGACTTTCCTCCGGCCCTGCCTGGGGAACGCGCTGCGCTCTGTTCTTCCCCTTGGGCCGGGGTAGCGCATCACACTGGCTCTTCCCTTCCCCTGTGACCCTGCCTCCCTCCCACATCCTTTCAAGGCAAGCCTGGGGGTTCCCGAGAGCCTGCTTGCCTCCTAATAACAGACCTCCTTTTGTGGAACGAGAGTCACCATGGCGAAGGCCACGTTAGCCCAGCTGCGGCTCGAGGAGGAAGCCCGGCGGAAGCGAGGGGTCTTTGATGCACCCGGTCCACTGCCTGAGACACTGAGAAGACTATGGGGCCAGGCTGCAAGGCCTGCCTTTTTCCTGGTTGAGTGAAAAACCCTAGGACGGCAGCAAAAAAAAAAAAAAAAAAAAAAAAGGGGGGGGGGGGGGACAGAGAATAATAACCAGACACATCAGAAACCTCTCAGGAGGACAGTATTAGATGGCTATCAAGTTATATTTGTAGCCGATTTTCTGAGCATGTAAGGACAGAGCCGTCCTGGGGTTGCTTGGCTCCATCTGAGGATATCAGCCAGGCTCTATCGGCTTGGCTGTGCCTCCTGCTGAAAACAGGAAAGGGGCGTGGGTCAAAAGGGAGAGAGGGGCAGGAGTGGAGCCAGCCTGCAGAAGAACGAGAAGGCAGACTCGAAAGAGGTCCGCGGAACACGGCGGGCTGGGCCGCCCAGCGCAGCCACACCGTAGGCAGCACCAGCGTTGGCTGCCGACGGGAGGCAGGCTGCCCTGACTTCCCTCCGAATGTGTATAGATCGTTTCAGAAGACTGCTTTAGTTTAGAGTGTCTGGGAACTGCTGTATTCTGGAAGTTAAATAGTGTGAGATAACATTATCTGGAAGCCCTGTTTCGTCTATATTTCTGTGTCCCTGTGCTGTTGCAGTCTGGGGGAGTCCTAACGCTCTGTGTTGTCTTTTATTTTATAACTTTCCCCCAACTATTAAAATCAAAGAATTCTCGTCTTCTGCATTTCCGCTTTTTTGTCCCATGGACCTCTTTTTCCACCTGCAGGGAAATTAATCAAAACAATTGTCGCATTCTATTCAAAGATCTACCCTTATATGGTTACCAGTAGGCCTCGAGTCAAGACAGGAATCTGGCCTGGATAGATTAGGTGGCCTGGATAGATTAGGTGGCCTGCCCGTGGTCTCGGCAGTCAAGGCCTGCGACCCTTGGGCTGAGACTCTGCTCTCGGCTGTGGCAGCCGGGCTTCCTCTCAGCTCGCCTCACCTGCCTGACTCCCACATCCTGACGTGGGTCTCCGCCAGGCCAGTGCAGTCACTCGGGGTCCCGTTTCGGCTTCTCTTCCCAGTTCCCTGCCAGGACCACGGAAGGAAAACCGTGATCCCAAATGACAGGGCACAAAGGTCACGTCACTTCCGGCTCAGACACCTGGCTATAGGGACGGCCACGTTTGCACAGCGCTTGTTCTGTGCGGGGCACACTTGTGTTTCACGCACACGCGCTCGCTTATCTTTCGGCCACCGTCTGGAAGGTGCTGTTACCACCGCTGGCAGAGAAGGTAGGTAGTGGCCCAAGGTTTCCTGACCGACGAGTGGGTCTGGGCTGGGAGCAGACAGCCTGGCCCGGGCTGTGCTCGGAAGCACGGTGCACTCTGCTGCGACGGAGACCAGGAGGCAGCATGCGCCTCTAGGCAATCCGAGCGAGACCGGGACTTTGAGATTAAGGGGCCCTTCCCGTCACCTACCCAAGATCGCTTGCAGAGACATGATCACTCTGGGGACCTGGTCCCTGAGTCCCAGTTCAGTGTTCTTCCATCCTGGCCCTTCCCTGCTAGATGGACAACGAGGAGGGGCGGCTGCCAGGCGTGGGCCTTTGACGGGATGTTCCAGGCGGTGGGAAAAAGCGCCCCGGTGTGAAGAGAAAGGAAAACGTGGGTCCGACGCGTAAGGCTCCCTGGGAGAAGCCCAGAGGATCGGAAGGGCCCCTAACCCTCCCTGTGGCTCTTTCAATAGCCAGGCACAGAGGATTTTTATCTCTAGAAACCTCCAAACGTGAAAGGCCAACCAAATCCCATTTCTCCCTGTCCCGAGATGAGCAAGAACCCGTTGTTTGGAACCCAGATGAATAATTGTTGTGTCAACTTTAGGAGGAGCTGGGGATAAGCTTCTAGGAAGCCAGGGATGGGGGTGGGGGAATGTTCCTGGGGCCCCCTGCGAGCCTTTACTTTCTCTCCCACTCCTTTGAAGAACTCAAGGGTGGGACACCTCTCAGATGAGCCCTTCCGTAGCAGTATCAGGCCAGGCAGTCCCAGTTCGAGGGCCCATGATGATCTCCAGACTCTGCCAGGAAAAGTAGGGGGCCTCCGCTGACTGGGAAACGGGCCCCAGTCAGGCAGGGGGAAGAGACGAGTGGGAGTCAATATATAACCAGGGACACACACGTGTGGCCAGACTACAAATGCCGGGAAACCCCAAAACGAGTCTTTTGCAGCTGAAAGAGTAAAGACTTCTTGGAAGAAGTGGAGCCCCGGCTGGGTTGGAAAATCGGGGATCTGCATAGGACAAAAGGGGGGGGAAGGTGCTTGGGGGGAGGGAAGAGTGGGGGTCTCACCCAGAAGGGAAGAGGTGTGGGCCGTGGGGTGGGCAGAGGGCCTCTCTATTTCCATCGGCAATCTGGATGCTTGCTTTGTCCTCAGCACCACCACAGGCAGGTTCTAAACCCCACCCAGGTGCCCGTAAGAACGGATGAGAAGGTGAGAGTCCCACAGGAGAGCTGCCCGGGGCCCAGGGAGATGGCCTCGTCGAGGATGGAAGTCGAGTCCTCTGGTCAGAGCTGAAAACAAAGCAGACAAGTGTGGGGTGGGAAAACTTTCTAACAACCGGAAGTGCTAGGAAGGTTTATACCTTTTTATGTGTTTTCTATTTTTTTTTTTTTTTTTTTTTTTTTACAATAAGCATATCTGACGTTTACAACCAGAAGATAACGTTGTAAACTAGTTTAGGGGTTTTTGCTGCCACAAAGTTCAACACATCCATGGGGAGACGGGGCTGCCCTCCCCCGAAAAGTGAATGTGATCTTGGACAAGGTCACAAGTGTGGCGTCAACAACCAAAATGGCCTCCCTCCACTTTGGGCTGCTCACCGGCAAGCGGGTCTGAGGCCCGGCCCTGTCTCGTGCTGTCTACGCGGCCCCCGGGCAAGTGACCTCGCCTCTCAGCTTCCTCATCTTTAAAGGGAGGTGGGTAGGGGCGCCTGGGTGGCGCAGTCGGTTAAGCGTCCGACTTCAGCCAGGTCACGATCTCGCGGTCCGTGAGTTCGAGCCCCGCGTCGGGCTCTGGGCTGAGGGCTCAGAGCCTGGAGCCTGTTTCCGATTCTGTGTCTCCCTCTCCCTCTGCTCCTCCCCTGTTCATGCTCTGTCTCTCTCTGTCCCAAAAATAAATAAACGTTGAAAAAAAAATTTAAAAAAATAAAAAAATAAAAAAATAAAGGGAGGTGGGTTCCTAAGTTCGAGAGTCCCATTCTGGTGGAAAGACTCTGTGTCTCTAGGCCCCCATCTCGATAAAGTCTTTGAAAAAACTCACAAACCGCAGTGGAGACGGGGAGGTGAGAAGGCCTGAGAAGTCGCTCGGCGGCCGGCAAAGACCGGCAACACAGCTGCTGGCTTGGGGCAGAGGGAAGGCTTCCCCGGGTGGTTCCAGCTGCAGAACCTGGGCCAAGACGAGAGGATTAGGCGGGGGCAGACCCCACTGCAGGGAGGGCACGACTTCCAAGCCCCGGCACGGCTTAGCCATGAGGTGGCCGCATGGGGTGGGGGTGGGGGCAGCGGAGGGGAGCCCCAGACACTGTCGCTAGAGGGCCGGGAAGCCATTTGTAAGGAATTCCTAACAGGACTGCATCATGGGACTGAAAGCTGGACAATACAACCCTCAGGACTCTACCCATGACATTCTAAAAGGTGGGGGGGCCAAGGTGCAGCGGTCATGAGTTCCAAACCTGTTCACCATTCCCAGGAAGGCAGAGCCAGGGTGGAACGCCAGTGAACCGCATGGAATGGGACAGAAAACACTGGGAAGAGACCAGCTGGGGGCGGCTGTCTCATACTCTGGGCTTGAGGTGATGGGGACCTGGACTTGCTGGGGGAAGCAGACCCCTTCTCACTGCCTCTGGCCCTCGCCCATCCCCTAGGGCCACCCAGAACCAGGCCACTCCCTCGGGACACCTGACTCCATGATGTCCTGCCCTCCTCGCGTCCAAGACCAACGTGCCCTCCTCCGTTCCTCACGCACAGCCCCCTTCCCGAGTTTCCACAGTCTGTTTTGACGTTCCATCCCCCATCCCCCATCCCCCATCCCCCAGGGGAGGCTGGCAGATGTGCAGATTCTGGTCTTGGGCAAGGGACGTACATAGAGAATTAGATCTTCCAGGTTCTGTTTCCTGAATATAAGAGCTGGGCATCAAGTGACAGATTTCCTCTGTTCTTCCCTTGTTCTCTCTGTGTAAATGGGCTGAGAACTTCTACCCTGATCGACGTTTCAAAGTAGAATAAAATACCAGTCAGGTAACTACCGATGTGCTCAGAGGAGAGGGCCCGGGAGCCAGCCGCCCTGTGTAACCTGCCTCGATCTCAAACGGGGCACCGCCAGCCCTTAGACTTCAGCCCTCTCTTCAAGCTTAAGGGGTGGCCACCCCCCGCCCTGCAGAGAGGAAACCCCGGGCGGGGCTGCCCCGGGGCAGACAGCAAGTGCCACAGGGTGGACTGCTCTGTGCCAGGCTGCTGGGCCACACTGCCCATCGGCATCAACAGCGGCCATCTCATCCTTGAGAGCAGAGGGACCGCGGCATTCCTGGTGGGAGACCAAACGAGAGAGGCTCCGAGGGCACCTGGAAAGGCCGGGTGTCACTCACTCACTGCTGACCCCAGAATTCTCGGAGCAGGCGTTCACTTCAGGCCCACGCGTAAACAGTCCTTGCACAGCAGCTAACCACTGCTTCCATCCAGTGAGCTCTTACTATGCGCCAGGCAGCTTCGAGCTTCGCTTCCCTCTGACGTCATCACTAATCCCCACAATGACGCCAGGAGGTAGCTATTACTGTTCCTATTTTTAGACAAAGAAATTGAGGCTCAAGGAGATTAAATATCTTGCTCAAGGTCACATGGACAGCAAGCGATGAGGCCGGGCTCTAGCCTGAGGTTGGTTGGACTCTCAAGCTGGGGCTCTTTCTTGTCTCTCAAATTCTCCATGTTTATGAAACGGGAGGGTTTTTCCTTCCCATCCTCTACTAATTCTCTGGACCCTGAGCACCCACTCTGCGTCAAGCACTGTGCTGACACATTGGCTTTGCAAAGATGAATAAGGTCACCTTCTGGGCCACGGAGGTGGCCCAGTCCGTGCGGGAGGGGGGGCGGGGGGGGGCGGGTAGGGAGGGACAGGCGCACTAGTGGGTGAGCACTGAGGACGGCAGGAAGGGGCTGCCTCGGAGCCCCACCCTGGAGCACAGATCTCTGAAGCTCCCCAGTGCCCCCCATGTCAATAGGGTTGAGAAAAAGGAAAGGAGGGAGAAACCCGGACAAGGTTGAGCGCCCACCTACCAGCCCCAAGGTCGGCACTGTTTTCTGTCCAGAAGAGGAAAGTGAAGCCTAAAGAGGTCACATACTGTCAAGGTCATCATAGCCACCTGACTCCTGGCCAGATCCCTAGGTTCTCACCGTAGAGCATCACACTGCCTTCCCAGAAAGTGTGTGGGAAAAGGAAAAAAGAAAAGGTAGTTCTGGAAACTCCTAAGCCCAGCTGCAGAGACCACGGGGGCCAGGGTGTCAGAGTCTAGCTCCTCCCACAGAAATGCCAGGTGGCATGTCCCTGCTAAAGTCACAGCCACAGCCATCTTCCAAACAGGCCAACCCTGGAGAAAGGGCGGGAGGGGAGACACTTAGGGGAGTGAGAGCAGGTCACGGCGTTCCAAACCCACAGGAGCGCCGAAGTGAACTCCCAACACCCACCCGCAGTGTACCCTGACCTCCTCCCTACAGTCCCAGTTTTCCAAGGTAGTGATCTTTAGTGGGGAAGAAACTCATCCCGTCCTCACCACCTAGGCTCGTCCGGCCAGCTCCTGCTCAGCCCCCTCCTGGCCTCCCCCACCTCTGTCGGGGGGGCGGGTGGGGCTCCAGGTAACAGGCCTGGGCGCCTCCTCCTCCCCACGCGCGCGCACAGGCACAGGGCAGGGCGCAGGGCGGGCCAGTTGCTGAAGGACACCAGGAGAACTGGTAGGACTTGTGTCCCTTTTGCCAGAGGCACAAACAAACCTGCCAGCGGTAATAACAGGGCAAAGGAACGGACCGCCTGGGACTCAGGAGGAGGACCGCAGGATCTCTGCCAGCGCACCCCTGCCATTAGGACCCTGCTCGGAAGCAAGAGGGGCCCTCCGAGAGTGGGGTTCTCTACATTCCTGCCCCGACAGACCTGACTAGTACCGCCTCCCCCACAAGACGCCTGCTCGATCGTTCTCTTCCACTGTTCTCGAGGGGTTCTGAGAGGCGCGTGTCAGAGTTTTCTGAAGCATTATGCAAGAGCCTCTGGGGGTCCACCACCACCCCCAGCCAGAGGCCGGTATAAGGGGAGGAGGCAGTGAGGTTTTGGAAGTCGGGGCAGAAGGGATGGAAGCCATCCTTACCGGGATTGGTGCCTACACGGGGAGGAATGGTGTTCCCCAAGGAGGCCAGAGTGCTTCTGGGGTGAGCACTGGGGGAGGAGACTTTACAAAGTTGGCTTTATTGGGGGGGGGGGGGTGGAGGGTGGAATTTGTTAAAGAAAACCTAGAGGAAAAAGAGCAAAGCATCTATGGTCCATTTGGGAGAGTTGGGTGGGGGGAAATCGGTATGTACCCAAATTCAAAAGGGTGCATTAAAATGCAACGTAGGGGCGCCTGGGTGGCTCAGTCGGTTGAGTGTCCAACTTCGGCTCAGGTCATGATCTCACGGTTCATGAGTTCGACCCCCACATGGGGCTCGCTGCTGTCAGCACAGAGCCTGCTTCGGATCCTCTCTCTCCCTCTCTCTCTCTGCCCCTCCCCTGCTCACTCTCTCTCTCTCAAAATAAACATTAAAAAATTTTTTTTTCAAGTGCAATGTAAATTTTAGCTTTCACATAGAGAGTTCTTACATACCAATTAAAAAAAAAAGAAAATACACACCACTGAAAACTGTTAATAGTATGGATGGGCTATTTGTGAATGAGCTTCAAATGACAAAAATCATATGAAAAAATTCAGCTTCATTCATAATCAAGGAAATGAAAATTAAAATCAGACCTAGAAGTCTATCATAAAACTGGTCATAATAATGAAAACTAGGAACAATCTAGATATTTAATTCTAGACTACCGTTAAAAATTATAATGAAATATTATAGATCTAATAAATTTGATATCACAAAAATATTTACTAACAGGAAAATGTTTACAATATGTTAAGCTTAAAAAGCAGATTCCACGGGGCGCCTGGGTGGCGCAGTCGGTTAAGCGTCCGACTTCAGCCAGGTCACGATCTCGCGGTCCGGGAGTTCAAGCCCCGCGTCAGGCTCTGGGCTGATGGCTCAGAGCCTGGAGCCTGTTTCCGATTCTGTGTCTCCCTCTCTCTCTGCCCCTCCCCCGTTCATGCTCTGTCTCTCTCTGTCCCCAAAATAAATAAACGTTGAAAAAAAAATTTAAAAAAAAAAAGAGTTTTTGGAAAAGGAAATGTAAGAACCATTTGCTTCATGTATATACTCTTCTCCAAGAAGTGGAGACTCTCCTCCCACTTGGTGATCATGGAAGTAGGGGTAGCATAAGAATGGGCGGGAGGAAGGCTGATGTCGGAGGTCACCCAGGGTACAGAGCTGGGGCCAGGAAAGAGATCCCAGGATCACAACCCTGACGTTACTCTGGAATCGCTACGGGGCCCACGACCTTGTATGGGAAGCCCAGAGGATTTGGGGCGCCTGGGTGGCTCAGTCGGTCAAGCATCCGACTTCAGCTCAGGTCGTTATCTCATGGTCGGAGCTCGAGCCCCACGTCCGGCTCTGTGCTGACGGCGCAGAGCCTGGAGGCTGCTTCGGATTCTGTGTCTCCTCTCTCTGCCCCTCTCCTGCTTGTGCTCTGTCTCTCTCTCAAAAATAAACAAACATTAGGAAGAAAAAAAAAGAAAGACAGCGCAGAGGATTTGCAGTCAGAGGATGTGAGTGACTCTTATGTCTGCGAGTTGGCACCAAGGAAGATGCATTATCTTTCTGAAACTCGGGAAGTAACAGTAACACAGGATTCTTGTGAGGATTAAATAAGATAATTATTTGCTTTGTGAGGTGTAAATCCCTAAACAAATGTTGGATGTTGTGGTGAATAACATTAATCTCTGGTTCATCTTGAGCAGGAAGGCTGGCCAACTGCTACGGTCAAGTTTGCGCTGGCTGTCGAGAATGCTGGAAATGCCGGAGGGGAAAGATGATGTTCCCACGGGGTTCGGGCAAACTGTTAGATTTCCTGGGCCATGGTAAGAGAACATAAAAAGAAACAGAAAACAAACTTACTCTGAGCTCAGAGGGAGGTGTTTGGAGACCTTCTGACTACTGTTTAAGGAAAGAATACGTAGCCTGTGATGAGAAACCCCGGGTCGGTCACGTGCTGGGCCCTGGGAGAAAAGGGCACAAAGCGCAGAGGTCTGTGACTCCCTTCCCCTG